GAGTTGATGGAGCAGACCAGTATATGAGGAAGTCAGTATTTTACTCAAAAGCATAAGCTAGTATAAATAGTAGCCTTTTGATAACATTTGCCTTATTCAACGCATTTAAAATTTACTGTAACTGTAAATTACAAAAATAATAAATGAAAACATTTCCTACTAGAAATAGCTAAGGTGCGGTATAGAACTTGGCAGTAGGCCAGGTATCTCTAGAAGAGTTCCATATGCAAATTTATCTTTGAGGTTTTCAGGAAAATTGAAAGACCATACTTTAGACAAAAATAGTAACTAAAGAAGAAAAACATCCTAATAGGGTATTGAGAGTACTCTTTTCGAAAGGAAAGCCAAGCAAAACTGGATATTTTTTGCAAAATTTGTTGTGTACCATTGCACACAGTTAAATGATATACAATGTGCCATACCTCTAACCCCCCCGGCATATACTATGTATCTGCAATAAGTTTCCCAGAGCCCCAGTAACATAGTGGTTACCAGTTGGGATGCAAGCCACAAAGTCGCCAATTAGAAACCACCAGTCGCACCTGGAGAGAAAGACCCGGCTTTCCACTGTGATACAGCCTCAAGCTCACAGAGGCAATTCTGCCCTTCCCTGTGGGGGCGCTATAAGTCGGAACTGGCTGGGTGGCAGTGAATTTGAGTTTGTATAAGTTTCATTTAACTGCATCATGTATAAATAATTATATTGGAGATGTTTTCATTTTATGTTCAATGTGGGGAAAATAGCTGCTGCATAGAATAGTTTGGGGCTTGAAATAGCTGGTCTACAAAATGTAAATAATGTAAAAGAGGAGGATTCCCACTAATGTTTATATTTTCTTATAATTTCTAATCTTAAGGTGGTAGGGCATATTATATAGTCGTTCTTCTTTAGTCCGCCTTTGGTTTGTGTGTATATATATATATATATCTTTAAAATTTACTTCCTACAATGTATTAATATAATTTCCACAAGTATACATCTTCAGTTAAAAAATAGAAAGCTGTCAATAGAATAAGGTTTTATGTTAATTTTGTTTTGTTTCATCATTTTCAGCACACTAAATTACTGATAATTATTCAGTACATTCCTGAAATAGAGCCATTGTATACAATATAATAAGATTTCAACTATTTATTTGCAACAGGAAATTTCCATTAAATTCTTTCTTCCTCTGGGAGAATTTATGTGGGCAAAGTTTTCAAAACAGGACTATATGAAAATCTGTACTGTGTTCAGTGGGCTGTATTCATTTCCGTTGAGAGTAAAGCCCCATACTTAAAAACTAACAATCCTTTTCCACTTGGATGATTGTATTGAATAGAGGGAACAAATATGTTGTATAGATTTCTCATTCAAAATGAATGTTAGTTGGCTTGATGGTCCCATTGTGGATTAATGAGAAATCTGAAAATTGTGTTTCAAAGAAAAATATAAATCAATTGTCACAGTTGACTTATTCACAATTCAAAAGGTAACTGGAACCGATGCTCTTGTGGACTTAGGAAAAGAACAAACATGCCTTAGAACAATCAGTAATGAGACACTTTGTTGAGGGAGATTTTCCATTCTGTTCAGCAAAAACTAAGGACAAAGCCAAACACTCCATTTTAATCTCCCCGGTCTTCTATTTTAAAGGAACACAGAGGAATGCAAAAAGAGAGACAGAGCTCTTGCTGTCACCCAAGCCAAGTGAAACCAAGGCCAAAAGAATTATTGAGAATGTGGTAGTCACATAAGCTGGTGTCAATTTGAGAGGATTATGAGTGAAGGGGTGGAGTCTACCCTGTCAATCAAGATATAATCAATGAGGCCTCTGTGTGGACATGGCCTTGTCCTGAGAATTCTGGGAACTCATGTATTTCCTCCTTGGAGGCAAGAGACACTTCTCTCTCTCTGCTCACTCCCTGAGAGACTCACTACTGACAAGACCCATGGCACTATGCTCTGGGAGCTAGAGAAGCCACATGGACCTACCCTTATGTAACCAGACCTCTGGAGCTAGAGATACCACATAGAGACCCCTGCCAGCTCCGAGATGCTTACAATGCCACTGGTTCCACAAGATTTCCAACCCTCTGGCCTGTAATCCTCTTGCATTTGGCTTCATTGCATGTATTTCGTGAGTCTGAAGAGAACTTTATAGATTGGTGTCAGACATATGGGCTAATAATGGACTTATGGAGTATATCTGGACTGGGCTGGGACTTTTTTTCAATATTCAATTGCTCTTGTATATAAACTTCTTTCTTATATACATATGAGTGTCTATGAATTTGTTTCTCTAGTCCACCCACACTAACAGAGAACAAGGTTATCTGCAGAGAGTGGAATTAGCATATCACTCCTCAGTTAGATATCTGCTTCCACGGTTCTCTGGATTATGTGAGCATGAGCAAAGGACTAACGAGAGATGACTTGGAAGAGAATTCAGACAGCTGTCCTCTTAACCTTGAGCCTGTTGTAGCACAGCTCATAAACTAAAGTGGCCTGAACTATCTTCCTGTTGTCCAATCTGAGGAGGTTGTCCACAACACAAGGAAACCTACACAACGAGAGCCTTAAGGGCTCTGACAAATAAACCCCGGGTGAGTGCAAGAGGGTCTCTTTCTAAGCAATGATAATGTGCCCCGAAGGAGGCCAAGCCCTCACTTCCCACAAAGAATTTCAACATGACTCCGCTAAGTACTGGTCCATGGTCATTTTTTTCCCCAGAGAATGCTGATGACCAGTTACAGTTATTCCTGAGAGTAGGAACTATCTATCCTAAGAGGTCAAGCCTGAGCGAGTAAGAAGTTTTATATATTTTGATACTGGCTTGTTAATACCTGACCATGATGTGAAAGAAATGGACATTAAAGAAGAGAAGGAGAGATTTTAAAGAGCTAAGTTAAAGGAGTGATCTGTGGAGAACAGGATAATAGAGAGTTGAAACTTTACCTAGTTTGGATTATTTAAAGATTATTAGCACTATAGTAGTCCATAGCAAATATTCAGCGCATAATTCTGTTTTATTTTAAAATAATTTTATAAAGGGGCCCTGAAATTTGGCCCAAAATAGGCTTCCAGGGATACACAAACCCAATTAAAATAGGATGTAAATATTTTATAATTGTGTTTTTTGTTGCTCGTAGGTGCTGATTAATGAGCTCTGATCCATAGCAACTCTATGCAAATAGAAGGAAACACTGCTTTGTCCTGCTTCATTCTCTTAATTATTGTTTGTCTGATCCAATTATTGCAGCCACTGTGTCACCTTGCAATCAAGTTTCTGGAAAGATATTCTGGCTTTTAAAGAAAGCTATATCTCAAAAGAGTGTTGCGAGAGTTAAAATCAATGCCAATATTATTTTAGAGAAATACTAAAGGTACTAGCTAGGTAAATCATTAGTTCATACACCAAGTATTATTGAGTTTCTACTGTTTACCAAAACTTTTACTGACAAAAATTAATAACGTCAGCAGGCACAATATATGCTAATACAATTTGCAGTTTAGTTAGCATAATCATGATTGAGATAATTGTATCATGATGCAATGACGATGTCAAAGGAAGTTCAAGGAACCATGGAAATTCATAGGAAGTGTGTCCAATCTATGCCAAGCTTTGGTGCAGTGATGGTGAGATGAGGTTGAAGAAGGAAATATACGGCTTTTGATTTAATTTGAGAATTGTAAAAATGAATAGAATTTGTTCTCAACGCCCCCCCCCAAGCATTGCTGTACAAAGTATGGAGCTGACAAGAGAACATGCTATGTAAGGAGTGGAAAAGACAAGCCATCATCACAGTTGAGACATAATATGAGGGAAAGATTGTAAAAACGTAAATGAGATATTCTGGAAGCTTTTATCACCATAAGGAGTTTAGAATTGATACTAATGGTGACAGAAAAAACCAAACAATTCAAAAAATAGTTCAAGACTTTCAATAGACTACACAGTTTGCATTTCAATGCACTGCTTTATCTGCACTGATTGCTAAACCAAACCGCTAATCGAGGGGAGGCTTGCCTGGACTATTAGGTTTCCTAGGGAATAGAGATCATCAGTTTAATTTTGGGTTCCTTTGAAATTAAAATGAAGGGAATTGTGATTTGGGTGTAAAAATAGGAAGGAAACAATTCAAGGATAAAACTTTTTTCCTTAGACTTGTGGATAAATTGTGAAACAGATCTGTGACAGAAGGAAAATAATTGTGGTCGTGGAGAAATTCCATTTCGCACATTTTGATTTTTGCTTACTTTCCTGTATGTATCCATGTAAAGAAGTCAAGGAAGCAGCTGTATATATATCATTTTGACCTTGTATGAACCAATGTAAACTAACAGAATGAAAACTGCCTCCTGTTTTTTAATAGAAAATTACTGACTGAGATGCCAAGTCTGAATCACTACTATCAATGCCATTGTTGTATGCTTTATATTGAATCCTCATTTTATTTTTTATACAAATCTAATTTCTCATTTTATACAAATAATAATTCATCATTAGTTTGGAAAGCAGATATCATCCAAGCCCTATTTAGGAACCTCTGAAAGAAAAATGTCCCAAAAGAGGGGTGGGCACAGCCAGTAAATACCTCTTTCCTCTAAAAATGAATCTTCGTTTCTTGTTACTTTTGAAATAAAATGATGCACTGAAAATATGTCTTCCAAAATGAAGCTGTGGTATGTTTAAGGGAAAACTGCTAGGATCTTGAAGACCTTGATAGGAGTTTATAATTTAGTAAATTCTCTAGATATATTTTTCCTCAGAAATTCTCTACCATTTTTCCTTTTATTGTGGTTCCCAACCATTTCACAACACTTCCCTCGTTCAGTCGCACAGACAATAGTACATAAGGTTCTTTTGCTTCTTAGCTATGTCGTTAAATTTTTCTTAGACTCTCATAGTGCTAGTATTTGGGTTCATGAATGCTACAACGTGGATTCTAAGACTCTCATGACCATGATAATGAGTACACACAGCCTACAGGTTTTTTGTCTTTGTTTTGTTTTTTAGGAGAAAATAGAGGCCTCGTAGAAATTTTCAAGTATGTTTTGTTTTCTTCTAGTAGAATATTTCACTTCCATATTGCCATTTTTCTGCCATTTTCTATTCATTTGAAAAAGACACACCAATGCGGACAATTGTTTTGTAAATGAAAGGAAGTGTAGCTTTGTCTCTGGAGGGTTTCTTTCTATTCAATACTTATTGGTATGGTAAAGGGGCCCCCCAACAGTATGAAATAGACTATAGCACCAAGCCAACACTGCCTCATAATAACCCCCACAGGGTTTCTGAAGCAGGTCATCTTGAAGGAAGGAGATAGCTATGTCTTGAGAATGAATGGTGGATTTGAACCACCAACTGTGGGGTTAGCAGCACCACAAGGATTCCTTCAAATAGATTATAGAATGTGCAATTTTATAAATTTCCGTGTTTGGGGAAGTTATTTTCGTTAGCGGTTGCCAAGTTACTTCCTACTCAGGTTCAACTGGTCTTACATCTTCTCAAGGAAGCCAGGTGGGAGGTTCAAACCAGCTGTTGCTCCATGGGAGAAAATTGAGAGTTTCTTCTCTCAAGGCTGTTAAGATTTACAGCCTTAGAAACCCACAGGGGCAGATGTACCATGTCCTGTAGGGTCTGTGAATCAGAGTTGACTCAATGTTAATGAGTTAGGTTTGGATTTTAGAACTATTATTATATTGGATGATATTATTGCAGCCACTGTGTATTTTGTGTCATCTAATCTTTGAGATTCAACTTCTAAAACTAAATCACACAATAATCTGTTCTGAACCATTGAGTTTCATGATCTTATATTGGGAAGCAGATTGCCAGGCCTTTCTTCCTCATCTGGCAGCTCCCATGATGTCTCCTTCATGAGCGAAGGAGCTTGTATTTGAAATATTAGTCGCATAGTTTCTAGCATCATAGCAGCATATAAGCCACCAAGGTACAGCAAACCGACAGATGAGTGGTGGATTTTGAAGTTAAGAGCAAGTAAATGCATCGGCCACTTGTTTTCCTTAAATGTTCGTTTGAGTTATATAAACACATATTTTCACTAAATGGCTTTTCATAATTTTCACTATGTTTACTACTCTGTGCTTTATATTTCTAATATCTTCTGTGTTTCTTCTGCTGTTTCATAACCTGATTATGATACTATTCAATTGGTCTAACATTAAAACCGTTTTGCATCCATTAGTGCTTATAAAACTCAACTCTTTTTTTTCTTTTGCTTAATTCTATTGGCAAATTCATTATAGGAGAAGTGATTGTTTAGGCCTAAAAACTCTTTCTGGTGAAGGAGAATTTATGTAATTAGCAAAACAGCCCAGGTAGTAATTAAACGTGAAAACAGTGTTCAACTAGTCTTCATTCATTTTTAAATTAGATAAACAACAGCATATAAAGCACTTGTTGTGTCAGGGAACATGCCAGGTGTTGGGGACATAGCAGTAAGCAGGACACGCTCCCTTTCTTCACGGCGCGTCTTCCACAAGGAAGAGGCACAGCATGGATACATTAATACGCTGTAGGGCAGTGGTGCTTTAAAAGGACGAGTGTACTATTTTAAAATCAAAGAAAAGATGATTCAAGTGTGGGTCAAAGAATGTTTAGACACTGGTATTTAGAGGTTTTTATTACTGTTTTTTACATATTTCTCTTACTAGCCAAACCTTCAGAACACCCTTAGAACCTAACATTGTCCAAACATTTATCATCTCTTTGGGTCACTGCAATGACCTCCTTATTGATCCTTGCCCCTTCTTCAATCCTTCGTCAACATAATGACCAGAAGGGATTTTGTAAAAGGTAGGCCACACCCCCTTTGAATCCTTATTGAAATCATCTCATATGAGGTTCAAGGTCACTTGGAAAGTTTTATACCACCCTGCATTTCTAAAGCCACTCCTTGCCTACTTAACTCTCTGGCTTATTTTTACTTGTTCCTAGACTTCTGTTCAAAGTAGATTCCTTGCTTAACCTGAATCATGCCTAGAATCCCACTGCCTCGGGATAGAACTTTCTGCTACATCTGCCTGGGGCTTTCTTTTAGATATTTCATTCATCCTCTTCAAAATTCTTGTTTAAATAGCATCTTCTCAGTAAGGTTCTCCTCTCCATTCTGAAAATTGAAAACTACTCCATGAAAAAATGCCTATCTACCTCTAGCTTTGTTTTTCTCCACAACACTTGCTAGTATGCAATATGATTTGCTAATTTATTTTGTTTATTACCAGTCTTTCCCCCACAAAAGGTGCCTGAGAGAAAGAATTTCCACCTGTTTTTAAAATTGTCAAAACCCTTGAATCAAGAACCATCTTGACATATGGCAGGAGACCAACAAATATTTATTGTAGGAAATAATGAATGGAAGCGGAACATACCCATCAGCATTAGATGCAATTACTGATTGGAATATTTCTCAAGCAACTGCCATCAGGCGAAAGGGGAACATTATAGATGAATAGTTATTTGAATTTAAAGATTCATAATTGTCTACTGGGGATTTGTAAGAGATCACAAAAGGAAGAAGAAAGATGACCCCGGAAGTGAAAGCCACCAATGTAAAGTAGGATGAGCACAAGCCAATTATTTAGAGACATCCTGCGAACTGCAGGCTCCTGGCCTTCTCCCTTGTCCCCTTCCAGATGCCTGCCCTGTGCTCCCATGGTAGCCTTGGCCCGAGGATTTGTGATGGTCGTAAACAGCTTTTAGGACACTTGTTGGATAATTGTTTAACCTTGTGCTGCCTGTTGGGTTTCAGACTGACCTTGACGAACTGTAGTTAGTTACTGTCTCTTATCATAAAACAGAAAACGCTTCAGCTGGGGTTTATCTTTGCCAAAATACATAATGTCGCTCCTTTAAAAAAATTGTCTGCTAAAGGGAAAGCTTTCTCCACCAAATCGTCTTAGGAAATAGTGAATGATTAGATTTAGCCAAATGTAATCAGTAATCTATAATGTTTTGTTTTATTTCCTTGAGAAATAATCCTTGCATTGCAGAAGAAAAAGTAAAGGTTTGCAACGACTTCCGTTTAATAAGGTGACCGCCCTCGTTGCAGTCGAGTCAGTTCCAACACTTGCGTGGGGTTTCCCAGAATGGATTTCTCAGAAGTGCATTGCCAGACTCTTCTGGTCAGGCAAAATCTCTGTTAGCCGTCTGGAATGTCAGGAACCAACGACAACGCTTGTAGGGTGACAAGGCTGACAGAAAGTGGCTAAAAATTTAACAACAAGGAAAGTAAAAGAGCCAAATTATAAGGCCAGCTAAAATTTAATAAATGCTTACTGTATGTACGAGGCTGATGAGCCCTGGTGGGGGAGTCATTATGCATTGGGTTGTGATCTGCATGGTCAGCAGTTCAAAACAACCAGCAGCTTCACAATCGAGAAGCTGGGCTTTCTATTCCTATAAGCACTTCCTGTGTCGGAAATCCCTGGGGATCACAAGGAGTCAGCATTGTTTGGATGGCAGTGAGTTTTTCTGAGATATCTACCAGCTTGGGCTACCTAGTGCCACTCATATGAATAAGAAAGAGATTCATGTAAAGAAAGAAATATGTATCAAGAAAGTAGCCTACACAGCCACACAGTTCAACTCCAGTCTGTGGTTTACATGCTAACTGGGGAGACCCTTTCTGACTCAAGCCACTGCAGACAGTTGAACTAAGGAGAAGAAGCCAGCAGGTGGAGACAGAGATGAGTGTATCTGACACAGAGAATAGGGCAGGCCTCCCATAGCTCCCAAGGGTAGGCAGGCCACCTGGTGTCCACCAGCCACAGGCCCAAGAAGCAAGAAGCAGGAACCAGGCCAGTAAGAAGTGAAGAGAGGAGGCCTGGAAATTCTTTATAGATATGAAATAGGCTACACCCCTAAGGCTGTGATATGAACTTTCTGTGTGGACGTCTTACTGCCACACTACTGAGGATACTGGTCTGGACAAACTGACACAAAACCTGAGCCTCACAATATGACCCGGTCATCTTCTAAGCAGTCTCTTTGTAGTCAGTGCCTCATGCCGTTCTCTCAACAACCCAAGGGAGTGAGTGTTGCTTTTTACAGAAGGAGTAAAGGTCCATCAAAAGATTAAGTAATTCACTCAGGATAATAAATTTGATTTTGTATTTAAAATTATATTCAGATCACATAATCAATCAAGGGACATACTATGGACCCTGAGCGCACTGCCTCCGAGGAAGAATGTCCATTTGAAACATTCTTCGAAAATATATTATTTAAAAATATATTTATACTTTGAAAGTGCATTATCCTGTAGAAAGCACCTGTCATATGCTTGTCTTTTGTTGAGAATCTAGAATGATTATGCAAAATTCCTGTATAAGAATATCACTTTGCCTCTAGGATCAATTTTTTTTTTAATACTTTTGTTGGATATAATTCATGTATCATACATTTCCTTAGTTCAAGCATATTAAAAAGCTATATAAACATCATTACAAAGTTCTAGAAAAATTTGTTCCTTCTTGTGTTCATTATATGCTCCACATTTCCCTCCAGCCTGTGCCCCCATATCCCCAGTAAGCCTGTACATCAGTTACTGTCTCTCTCTATTTGCCCATCCTGAACTTTATATACTAGAAAACATACAAAGTAAAAACAAAAACAGCAAATAGAAACAAAGTTAGGAAGGAAGGACCAACAATATTGTTAAACTAGAGGGGCGAAAACCTTGATCAAGGAAAAAAAACAGGAAATATTAAAAACTAGAGCAAATTTAAAATGGGTCAAAAGAGAGCTCGAATGATCAGATATTACATTTTAACCTAATCACATCTGTCATCCTTCATAGCAAGGTTATTCACATCCCTCAACTCTGGTCAGAGAGCACTCATCAGAGGCTTAATCAATGTAGGGGCCTACAAATGGATCTGGCATTCCTACTGTCATCCATAGCCTTCTGCAAATTGGGTATTCACAATTTAAGCTCTGATACTATTCCTTTCATATTAGGATTTTATTTTTTATCATTCTTAGATCACACAGGCATGGTGTGCTTCTTCCATGTAATCTTAGCCGATGCCACACTCAGATAGCTGCTTATTTGACTAGAATCCTTTAATTAAGACCCAAGAATCTTTTTTTTTTTTTTGACAAGGGGCTCCATCTCCTTTCTTCACCACATTGTGCTATAGCACCCAAGATATAAATTTCTTATACTTTTGAATTAATAACAAAAGTATCTAGAATTTATTAACTGACATGGGGTGGTGATAAGACAATATCATATTCATATTAAATTTATCATTGATTGAGTTTTTAAATATTTCTAAGGCTACTGAGTCAGATGATCCAGAACAGGACATTCCAGGACCAAAAAAAAAGTTACAATTTTTATGGTAAAATATCTTCTTTCTACAAACACTCCTTGGCTCTATTTTTGAGACTCCTTTGTCCCAAAGATGAGCCCTGGTGGCGTAGTGGTTATGTACTAGACGGCTAACTACCAGGTCACTAGTTTGAAACTACTAGTCACACTATGGGAGAAAGATGAAGCTTTCTACTGCTGTAAAGAGTTACAGGCTCAGGAACCCACAGGAGCAGTTCTCCCCTGTCCTATAGGGACCGCTATGATCCAAAATAGGCATGAAGGCAGTGAGTGATTTTTACAAGGAACTAGATCTCCTTGAATTCAGAACAAAGACTTTTGTAGGTGTATCTACAATGTGGAAAAAATAATATTTTTTATAAATTTGGAAAATATTTTATGAATAGATGTTTTAACCTTAAAATAGTACATTGTAATAGACCTATTTAAAATTTTAAATATAAAACCAAATCAGATATTCACAAGAACCAAGTAAGTACCATTAATTAGTGAAGAAGTTGTATTGTTGAGACTACAAGGCATATGCTGTATATAGAATGCTATGTGGATGCTTTTTTAGACTCAAGTGGTTAATACTTACATTATATATGTATTATGCATTGACGATATTTTTATCCCTTCACTGTTTTTATCTTTATCTGTGTCCATGTACGTGTGTGTGCTTGTTGCAGGGAAGGCCAGCAGTCGCCAGAACAATGGCAGAAGATGTATGGTAGATGCTCGGGGAATGAAGTGTACCACATTGTTTTGGAGGAAAGCTCATTTTTTGCAGAGTATGAAGGAAAGAGTTTTACATATGCCTCTTTTCATGCACACAAAAAGTATGTTTCCGCTTTAAAAGTGGATCACCCACACGTTTATAACTACAATCCATTCTGTGCCCACAAATTGCCAGTGTTCTGGGTTATTGACATAATTATTAAACTATTTGAGCTCTGACTACTATTTTATCTAAAACAAATTAAGATTATCGGATGTAAACTGTAATATAGTCAGACTGTGTGCTTTAACAGCCTTTTAACTATCAGTTTTTAAAAAATCATTAAAATCCCACTTATATATGAAAACTAATCTTATAAATGTTAAAGTTTTAACAAAGTAATCGTATATTCTAAAAGCCGTATAAAAAACCTGATGATTTTATGATTGCACGTGCTTTGCCTAGAGAGATGTTAAATGCTAAAACGAAAAAAAGGAAAAGATGATACCCATTGCCAGAGTCAATTCTGACTCGGGGAACTTGACGGAAGTAGACTGCCACACCTTTCGCCACGCATGCCCAGTGGGTTCCAAACCATGATGTCTGAGTAGCAGTCAAGCACTTACCCACTGTGCCATCATGGCTTCCTTAAAAAGTATTGATGGTACCTTCCGATTCAGCATGGGCACGATTTCTTCCTTTTGAGAAGAGGCATCTTGGTGGCATCGGGCTTATGTCTCTGGGGCCTAAAAGCCACCAACCACTCTGGAAAGATGGGGCTTTCTACTCCAGTAAAGAGGTGCAGTCTAGGAAACGCACCTGGACAGTTCTTTCTAACCTTTCTGAGGGTATGAGCCAGAGTCAATTTGATGTCCGTGAGCTTGGTTTTGAGTTTTGAAAAGAGAAAGCAATATTAATTTAAAAGGCACATTAATCAAGAAAATAATGTTTTATTAGTATTACAAATAAATGTCACTATATCACAGCATGTTCTTTTGGTATTTAGTATTTATACCTGCCACTTTAAGTTTTTTTTAATTTTAACAGTTTTATTGATATATGATTCAGATCTCATACTGCTCGGTAGTTTAAACATAATAAAAAGAATTGTTCGATCATCACCCCAATCATTTTTAGAACTTTTTCATCTTTCTTATTCTCGTTATTATTAACTCCCCTTCTCCTCTGACCTCCCCTGCCATAATCCCATGAAACTACTAATCCAGTTACTCTCTGTACAGATTGACCTATAAAAAGAAAGAGAAACCTCTATCAAAAATATAGTAGAAAATAATAAAAACTGGAACAAACTTAAAATGGATTAGAAGTGAGAGCAAATGATCATAACTACATGCACATTAAGCCACTTTTCAATGCACTCAGTGATAACAAGGCTAATATTTCCAGCCCTGATCAAGGGTAGAGGGGTAATCCACACAGGGCTTTCACTGTCACCCATAACCTTCTACAAATTGGGTGCTACGTTTTTAAGCTCTAATACTGTTCCTTCCTCAAGTTTTAGATTTTGTTATTTACAGTCCTTGGGTACCTCAGCTTGGATGCTTCTCGCTTAAAACAAGATGGTTGTTTCTTTCCAGGCAAGCCTTTAGGACCCCAGATGCTAGTCTTTCTGATGGCCAGGTGCCATCTGATTTCTTCACCACCCTTGGAGCTAGCACCCATAGCGTCAGAGATCTTTTCCAGAGGGCAAGTATCCAGAGCAGTGCTATTTTTATGAGGGCCACGTCCTATGCACGGACTGTTCTTAGATTAGCATACTACTTTGATTTTAATGGCGCTATCTTCATAGGCTTACTTTCTCTGTTTGAAAATATTTTAAAATTTCAGTTATAGTTTTACACTATACGATATTGGAATAGATAATTGGTGCTTAGTACATTGTCTAAAACAATATATGTAGCAAAAAGTTTTAAGTAGCAGCTGTTATATTCAAAGTGTTATTTTTATTAATTAAGCTATATACTTGTTAGGGATTTTTTTATTACCAATCAGAATAAACTAAATAGAAAGCATACTTAAATCCAGGTACTCTTATTAAGATTTAAGTATATTTTTTTCTTTCCTTAAGGCCAATGATTTTTTTTTTCTGACCACAGTAAGAAATGCTTTACATGCTGTCTGTACTTGATGCACACACACACACACACACAGACACACACACTTAAACAGGCAAGATTTTGTGTTGATCTCAATGTGCCAAGTAGATAAATTAATGGCAAAACAACATTATTCTTACTACATGTCATGCACTGTGATAATTTCCATTTCATTTAAAAAAATTGGTAAATGAGATCAACACAATTGATTTCATGACCCACTACATGGTTCTTTTCCTATAAAATCTTAAGATCCTTTTTAAGCTTTAGAATATTCTGATTTGACATTTTAAGTTCCTGTTAAATAAGGCTTTATTAATTTTTATGTATTCATAATTTAAAAAGAAAATTTGCCATATGACAAAACTTAGACTCATCTTTTTTTTTTAATTAAGGTTTGGTGTCTGTTTGATTGGTGTTAGGAGGGAAGATAACAAAAACATTTTGCTGAATCCAGGTCCTCGATATATTATGAATGCTTCAGACATATGCTTTTATATTAATATTACCAAAGAAGAAAATTCAGCATTTAAAAACCAAGACCAGAAGAGAAAAAGCAATGTCTCAAGGTCATTTTATCACGGCCCTTCCAGATTGCCTGTACATAGTATAATTGCCAGTATGGGTAAGTAGAAACAAGGTTATAAATGTCATTAGACTATTTCTAAGGTAAAAAGAATATATTGAACAATTCATACTAAAAATGTTTAAGTAAAATTTAAAATGTACAAATACTGATTACAAATTATATATAATTAGGCTTATAGAACTATTTTTCCCTAAGTTGGTAATCAATGCAAATATTAAAATCTTGCAGCCAATAATTATTCTACATTTCTGATCATCAGTATCAGCATTTCTATATTTTTCTTGTTAGTTCTCTAGCCTATTATCAACAAAACCAAACCCCCAAATCATAGCCATCAAGTAGATTCAGAAGCACAAAAACGCTATGTAAGGATTCTGAGCCTGTAAACCTCTGGGGGAGGAAACCTCATCCCTCTCTCGCTGAGCAGCTCATGGTTTAGCAGCGCAGTACAGACACGCTCACTCGTCTAGTGTGCACTCAAAGCCCTCCTTCTATTACCAATCTCTCTCTTCACATTGAACCAAATTTCTATTACACCGGAAAGACAAATAAGTAAGTAGATTTTGTCAGACTTTCCTTAAAATGTTACCACTCAACCACTTACAAAACAACAAGCACACAATAGTTCATTCTGTGTTGTCTCTGTGAAAGAGAAACATGCTGCCTTCTTAACTTTAATTCATTCTTAATACACATTTTCAGTTTTGTTTTGCTTGGGTTATTTGTTTTTCATCACTGTTGATTTCTGTCCGTAGCATGTTTAAATCTCTCACTTGTTCTTGCCATCGCCTTTTCTCTTATATCTCTATAGCAACGCACACACATGCACTCTGGCCCCTGCAGCCCTGCCACGTAAGCGCCTTCTCAAGGTCATCACTGCTTTGTACCTCACTAATGCAGTGGACATCTCCACAGCATATGGCAATATTGATCATGTCCTTGAAACGCTCGATCGTCTTTTGTCTGCATCGGCTGCCTTCCTTCTCCCTGCGCAGTCACAGCTGCTCTCATGGTTCCATTGCCCTCTAATAACTGATGAGTCCCTTTCCTCATCTGCCAAACAACTTCATTTCCTCTTCAAACAATAGATTCGACTGCCTATTGGTCATTGCTATTTGGATGGCTTACAGGACAAACCAACTCAGTAGATACAAATTGAACTAATCCCTCTTTCCTCATTAGAAACCAGTTCCTTCTCCTTGTTCCATGTTTCATTTGTCAGAAGCAGATGACACCATTATCTTTTTATTTATTATTCAATAAAGTCAAAGTCTAAAGTTTTCACCATTCTTCTCCTCGCATACCTCATAATCCCCCAAGTCAGTTCAATCTGTTATCTGAATAGTCCCTGAAGCTATTCATTTCTTTCCGTGGCCGCTACCACTGTCACTGTTTGTCCTTCTGAATTTCAATGTCAGCTTCCAATCTGACCCCATTCTTCTAGTCTTGCTGCCATACTCTATTCCCACCCAGCAACTAGAATAATATTTTATAAACCTAATCTTGATGATGTCAGTCTCCTGTATAAAAACCAAACCCACTGCCCGTGAGTAGATTCTAACTCATTGTGCCACAGATGGCAACTTAAAAGTGCTCCTGTGGTTTCCCAGGCGGGAAGTATGGAGTGTTTAATAGTGGACTGCCTCAACATGCTTCTGGGGGCAACACGTGCGTTCCAGCTATCTGGGGTTTGTTGTTGTTTTTTATTTAGCAGCCCAGTGCTATGCCACTGCACCGCCATGGGAAAATGCTACTCTATAATGTACCATGATCTTTAAGTAGCTGTCCAATAGTTGCCATTTTCATGAGGCAATATTAGTTTGATGTTGTTGTTGTTATTGTTGTTTTTAAGTCCCAGAGCATACACCTTGTCCTCATGTGGTTAAGCTCAGTAGATCAGTTACATGATTTTATTATTAATGACTCTTTATTACTTCTGTAGCCCTCTAGTTTACCAAACCCTTGTAATTACTCTCCTGAGTTCCAATCATACTACGCTTATTAATATTTTCACATATATGTATATATATATTTAAATTTTTAGCTAGAAGGCATTAACTAATTGTTTCCTTCTACAGGAACCATCCATTGACCCCCAAATTTCTAAGCAACTCCTAATTCTTTATATCTCAATCTAACTAACACTTCCTCCAAGATATACAAGGGTAAGTCAAAAAGTATTGCTACTAGAGTTCCAGTTCACACACACACAGAGACTATTTCAACTGAACCATGCTCAAGCTTGCCCACAATCAGTGGATAGCTCCAGTCAAGTACCCTCAGTAGCACCCATATTTTAGTTTTGTTAGGCTGCCTCCAAAACATTGATACATTTTGTGCCACGGGTAAAAATTATTTTGAGGTCAGAGCTAGTAATAAAAATTTAACAACACTCAAGTAGAAATCTTCTCAAATAACTGAATTTTGCAAAAAGTTTTCAGGCATGCTATCCCACATAAAACAACAGCTTTTAGATGAATGAAGTGTTACTAGGAAGGCCTGAATGATGAGCCAAGAGAAGGAAAATTCTCAACATCAGAAGAAACTTTGACAGTAGTCAGAAGCTGCTTAAATGACTCACTCACTGCCATCCTAGCTCCCCTAGCACTGAGCAGAACTGCCCTTGGGGGGGCTTCCAAACTATAACTCTTTACAGGAGAAGAATGTCTTGTCTTTCTCCCAAGGAGCAGCTGGTGGTTTCCAACTGTGAACCTTGTTATTGTAGTGAAGATATGTTATGGAACAAACCATAACAAAAACCAACTCTTGTCTACCAATATGATCCAGAGAGGAAGGCCCTATGAAAAGAGTAGCATTCTAGATGAACTTCTGGGTCATCTAAATTCAGGGCAGAGAGGTCAACATAGAAGGTGCTGACAACTCGTGGGATCCCCAAGGGGTAATCATAATAGATTTTCTCCCCAAATCCACTATGATCATAGGGCTTATTGTGAGGATGTTTTGAGAAAAAATTAAAACTGTATTGGTGATGAAAACACCAAGAAAGCTTTACCAAGAAATTCCCCCTATTATGACAGCATATCTGCTCAGTCCACATGAGTAATAAGAGAATTTTGCCCTATGAGAATTTTGTGGAGAAACCTTTCTCCATTCACCCTTCAGCCTTGAGCTTGCTTCTTCAGGTGTTTGTTGCTGTTCCCAAAACTCAGAGAATATTTAAAAGGATTATGATTTAAGTTTCTTGACAATGTCTAAATTGATGTTTAGAAGAGTACAAAACTCCTTAGGAAGGGTTAAAGGGAAGGAAACACCTTATTCAGAAATACATATAGCTAGATGGAAGACATGTTAGAAAACAATATAGCTTTACATTTTGATATTTTTAAAATAAAACTTTCTATGATTTTGTAGCAATACTTTTTTACTTACCCTCAATATTTCATAGCCATACTTAAACTTTGTTATATAACTCTGTTTGTCATTGACATAGAAGGATGTTTCAGAAAACTCATAGGAAAATTGAATGAGACTAATGAACTTTCCCCCCAAATTGTGAACCCTCCCTCACATAATGTCTCTTTGATGGTAGTCCTTTCTATCCTTTTCATTCATTTGCAGGATTAATTATTTAGTCTCTAATATGGTCTATTACTGTGGAGAACATCAAGATCTTAACTCATGAAGAAAGCAAAAGGTCATTAAAAAGACAAGACATATATAAAAGATCAAAGTGGATGTCAGAAAAGACATCCGTATTAGTACGGAATTATTATGCATATTAGTATGGAATTATTCTGTATTAGTATGGAAGACCAAAATCCTCATAATTGGATTAATGATGCTTACTCTTAATTGTAGAGTAGCTAAAACACATGGAAGAAAGGATGAAGTCAAGAAGCTGAATAGAAAATTTGGAAGGGCATCTAGCTGGAGTAGACAAAGCCAAATATTATAATGAAATGTGCAAGGACCTAGAATTAGAAAAATAAAAGGGAAGAACATGCTAAGTACACCTGAAATTGAAAGAACTCAAAGAAGAAATTCATGCCTTGAGTTGTGTGTTAGTTCAGGTAGGCTAGAGAAAAAAATCTATAGAAATCCATAAGTGTACAAGAGAGAGTTTTATATAAAGGGTAATTGTATATTAAGAAAGCATCCAAACCCAGTCCAGTCCAAGCCCATAAATCCGATATTAGGCCATATGGCCGATACCAATCTATAAAGACCTCTACAGACTCATGAAACACATGCAATGAAACTGAATGCAGGACAATCACAAGCCAGTGGGTAGAAAATCTTGTGGACCCAGTGGTGTTGTATGCATCTCAGTGCTGGCAGGGGTCTCCATGTGGCTTCTCCAGCTCAGGGCACTGGAATAGTTCTATGTGTCAGTCGAGTGTCTTCCAGGGAGTGAATTGAGAGAGTGTGTATCTCCTGCCTCCATGGAGGAAATACTGGAGTTTACCAGAATCCTCAGGGGAAGGCCAAACCCACACAGAGGCCTCATTGGCTCTGACCTGATTGACAGACTCAACTCCACCCCTTATCTCTTACTCTCTCAAGTCACAAATTGACATCAGATTATGTAACTACCACAAGCTGTAATTTGGAAAGATTCTAAAACCAAATATTGAATGATGCAGTAGGTATCGAGAGAAGATGGAAAAAATGAGTTACTGTGCCCCTCCCCAAACAAACAAACAAACAAGCAAACCCAACTAGGTCACATTCAATTTCAGGAGGTAGCATATGAGCAAGAAACAATGGTCCTGAAGGAAGAAGTTCAAACTGCACACAATGCATTAGCCCACAAACGAAGTTTTGAGAATTGATAGAATGCCCATTGAAATGTTTCAGAAAGCTGAAGAAACACTGGAGTCACTCACTCATCTATGCCAAGAAATTTGGAACACAACTTCTTGGCCACCTGACTGAAAGAGATCCATATTTGTGCCGATTTCAAAGAAAGGTGAGGTAACAATGCTCAAACTATAAAACACTGTCATTGATAGCTCACACAAGTAAACTTTTGCTTAAATAATCCAAAAATGGTTGCAGCAGTACACTGAGCGGTAACTGCTAGAAAGTCAGGCTGGATTCAGAAGAGGACATGGAAACAGGGCTATCAGCTGGATCTGGACTGAAAGCAAAGAATATCAGAAAGAAGCTCACTTGTGTTTCATTGACTATGCAAAGCCATTCAGTTGTAGACCCATAATAAACTCTGGGCAACCTTGAGGCTAGTGGGAATTCCAGAACGCTTCATTGTGCTCTTGTGAACTTGTATACGAGTCAAGACACAGTTGTGAGAACAAAACCAGTGAATACTGCACGGTTTAAAAGCAGGAAAGGTGTGGTTCAGGGTTATATCCTCTTTCCACACTTGTACAATCTGTGTGCTGGACAAATGATCAGAGAAACTGGGTTATATGAAGAAAAATGTGGCATCAGGATTGGCGGAAGGCTTGTTAACAACCTACTCTATGCGGATGACACAGCCTGGCTTGCTGAAAGTGAGGAGGACTTGAAGCACTTGCTGATGAAGATCAAGTATTGTAGCCTTCAGTATGTATTAGTACGGAAGGCCAAAGTCCTCATAATTGGATCAATAGGTAGCATCATGATAAAAGGAGAAAAGGATGGATTGGTCAAGGATTTTGTCTTACTTGGATCCACAATCATTGTTCATGGAAACAGCAGTCAAGAGAACAAAGGAGTGGTTACATTAGGTAAATGTACTGCACAAGAGGTCTTTGGACTATTGAAGAGCTAGGATGTTACTTTGAAGTGCACCATGATATTCTCCATTGCATCATATGCATGTGAAATTTGGACACTGAATATGGAAGACCTTAGCAGAATAGATACATTGGATGTGTGGTGCTGGAGGAGAATATTGAAACTGCCATGGACTGCTAAGAGGACAAACCTATCTCTTTTGGAAGAAGCAAGGCCAGAGTGCTCTTTAGAGACAAGGAAGGTGAGACATCTTCTTACATACTTTGGAAATATTATCAGGAAAATCCAGACCCTGGAAATGAACATCATGTTTGGTAAAGTAGAGGGGCAGGGAAAGAGAAGGGCCCCTTAATGAGATGGATTAACACAATGGCTCAGGCATTGGAACAATTGGGAGGATGGTACAGGCCCGTGCATGGTTTTGTTCTGTTGTGCAAAGGGTCACTATTGGTCAAAGTTGGCTGGATGGCACCTAACAACAACAACAACATGTTCTAGAAATACTTAATAGGATATTTGAATACACAAACAAAGACTCCTGCCTTTACTGAGCATGCTTTCTTTCAGGGGGGAGACAGCCAATGAAAATGACATATAATAAGTGAATAAATAATTTGATATTTTAGACAATGGTGAGAACTTTGAGGGGAGGGAAAGAGATCAAAAACAGAGCTACTAGAAGGGATTGTGAATTCTGGATCGGAATTTAAATGAAGTGTTTGATAGACCTCACTGACATTATGAGATATGAACAAATGCTTAAAGAAAGCAAGGGAATGAGCTTGCTGGATTTCTGGAGGAAATCCTGAATTGTGAGCCTGCCTGAAATCCGCCAGGAATGGTGGGGCCCTCTGGGCTCACATACAGTGAGGAATGCTATACTTTGTACAAGGTGTGGTCCAAGAAGTCAAAAGGCAGCAGGTCCAGTAGGACTTTGTAGATCAGTGTAAGGATTGTGCTTTTTAACCAAGAGCATTGTGCTGAGTCATGTCTGGAGGTCCGGGCCTCCTGTGTGTCAGACGAGAAGCACCCTGCAGAGCGGTTTTGAGTCTCAGCGATCTTTTGAAAGCAGATCCTCAGGCCTTTCTTCCATGTCGCTCTGGGCGTGTTTGAACCCTGAATTGTCAGCTAGT